TGGAACAGAATTGAAAGTCCAGAAATAAACCCCTACATTTATAGGCAATTGGTTTTCTTCAAGGGTGCCAAGATAATCCAATATTCTGAGACAACTGGATATCTACTTACAAATGAATGAAGTTGAAACCCTACATTAAACCATTTATAAAAATTAAGTGAGAATGGGTCACAGACTTAAAAACGAGGTAAAACAATAAAATTCTTAGAAGAAAACGTATTTCCCAGGACCCTGAATTAGGCAATTGTTTCTTAGATATAATACCAAAAGTACCAAAAAATAAATGAATAAGTAAATAAAGACTCTTCTGCTTCAAAGGACAATATCAAGAAGTGAAAAGACCCACAAAATAGGAGAAAATATTTGTAAATCATTTCTCATAAGAGATTTGTATCCAGCCACTCTATATACACATATAAGTTGACCCTTGAACAACACAGGTTTGAACTGTGTAGGTCCACTTATATGCAGATCTTTTTCAACCATACATGGATAAAAAATACAACATTCATGGGATGTGACAGCCACCTATAAAGAGGACTGACTTTTCTTATAAGTGGGTTAGTAGGGCCTAATGCAGGACTTGACTATGTGTGAATTTTTGGTATAAGCAGGGGTCCTGTAACCAATTCCCTGAATATACCAAGGGACAACTGTATTTCTATTTAATGTAAATATACATTTATAATATATGTAATATAAATAAAAATATATGTACAATAACCTAATTTAAAAATGGCAAAGGATGAAAATAAAAATGTCTTTAAAGCCCCTACCTCTCACCCTGTACAAAAATCAACTCACAAATGGATCAAAGACCTGAAACAATCAAACCACTAGAAGAAGAAGACATAGGGGAAAATGCTCCAGGACACTGATCTGGGAAAAGATCTTATGATAAGACCTGAAAAGCACAGGCAACTAAAGCAAAACAAACAAATAGGATTACAGCAAATTAACTTCTGCACAGCAAATGATAAAATCAACAGAGTGAAAAGACAGCCTGCAGAATGGGAGAAAATATTTGCAAACTGCTCGTCCCACAGGAGACTAATATCTAGAATACATAAGGACAAAAAATAAAAGCAAAAAATAAAAAAATTTGATTTAAAAATTAGCAAATGATATGAAGAGACATTTTTCAAAAAAAGACATACACCAGCCTGGGCAACATAATGAGAATCCATCTCTGCAAAAAATTTTTTTAAATTAGCCATTGTGGTGCATACCTACAGTCCTGTCTACTTGAGACGCTGAGGCAGGAGGATTGATTGAGCCCAGGAGTTTGAGGCTGCAGTGAGCTATAATCATGCCACTGCACTCCAGCGTCGGGACAGAGCCATACTCTGTCTCGAAATAAAAACAAAAACAAACAAAAATGAAATGTTCCACATCACTAATCATTAAGGAAATACAAATAAAAACCACAATGAGGTATAATCTCAACCCAAATAGCATGACAGCTACTATCAAAAAGACAAAAAATAACAAATACTGGTGAGGACGCAGAGAAAAAGGAGCTCTTATATACTGTCGATAAAAATGTAAACTAATACAATCACTATGGAGAAAGTATGGAGGTTCCTCAAAAAACTACAAATAGAACTATCATATGATCCAGCAATTCCACTACAGGGAATTTATTCAAAGACAAGACAATCATATCAAAGAGACATCTGCACCTCTATGTTTATTGTAGCACTACTGACAATAACCAAGATATGGAATCAACCTAGATGTCCAACAAAGGTGTTATATACCAGAGAATACTGTTTAGTCATGAAAAAAAAAAAAATCCTGTCATTTGTAGCAACATGGATGAGACTGGGACATTTGGCTAAGTAAAACAGACCAGGAACAAAAAGTTAAATAAACACTGCATGTTCTCACTCATTGGTAGTGGGGAGGCAGGGACAGGGAGAGATTTGTTAAAGGATAAAAAATTACCACTAGATAGAAGGAATAAGTTCTAGTGTTCTATACCACAGTAAGATGACTACAGTTAACAGTAATATGTAGTTTCAAATAGCTAGGAAGAGGCTATTGAACATTCCCAACACAAAGAAATGATAAATGTCTGAGATTGATGGATATGCTAATAACATCTGATCACTAACATATGTGTATTAAAACATCACTATGTATCTATGAATATGTATAATTAGTTGTCAATTAAAAACTAAAAGAAAAAAGAAAAAATGTTCAAATGGCCAATAAGCATATACAAAAACGTTCATCATAAGTTACTAGGGAAATACAAATCAAAACCACCATACACCACTTCACATCTACTGAGCGGCTATATTAAACCAAACAAGCCCAGACAATGTCAAGCATTGATAAAGATATAGAGAAATTAAAATCTTCATACATTGCTAGTAGGAATGTAAAAAGGTTCAGTCTTTTTAGAAAATAGTTTGGTAGTTCCACAAAATGTTAAACACAGAGTTACTACATGACCTAGCCATTCTACTCTTAAGTATATATCCAAGAGACATGAAAACATGTCCACATAAAAACTAATACACAAATACATGTTCCCAGCAGACTTTTCATAATAGCCAAAAAAAAGTGGAGACAACCCAAATGTCCAACAACTGATAAATGGATATATGAAATATGGCATATAGATACTGTGGATGAAAAAAATAAAAAATAAACAGGTGTGACTTTTTTTTTTTTGAGACAGAGTTTCCCTCTTGCTACCCAGGCTGGAGTGCAATGGCATGATCTCAGCTCACTGTAACCTCTGTCTCCAGGGTTCAAGTGATTCTCCTGCTTCAGCCTCCCAAGTAGCTGGGATTACAGGCACTCACCACCACGTTCTGCTAAAGTTTGTATTTTTAGTAGAGACGAGGTTTCACCATGTTGGCCAGGCTGGTCTTGAACTCCTGACCTCAGGTGATCCACCCACCTCAGCCTCCCAAAGTGCTGGGATTAGAGGTGCAAGCCATCACACTCAGCCACTTTTTTTAAACTTAATCATAAACAATTACAAGTCTTTACCTGGCAGGCTTCACAGGAGAAAACTGCCTCCTCACACCAGATTTGGTGCACACCCAGTGCATCATAATCTCTAAAGCAAGCTGCAGTCAAGACTCAGGTATCCCTAAATGACCAGGCTCTTTTACTAGATTTACATTCCTAGCCCAGGTACCTTTGAGGTAAGTCTCTGTGGCCTTCAACGGAGGCCTTTCCTTAGGCAACTCTGCAGGGGCCTCCTCAACAAAGGGAAAACACTGAAAACACTTTCCTCTACTCTGACTCCGTACCTTCCTCCACTCCTAGACTTTGCACCTCGCCCTCCAACCCACCCTAGATCTATAAAACAGCAGGAACCTTTTGCTGGGGTTCCCTCGACATTGTGGAAACTCCCACCTCTGTGCTGATCCACCTGAGAGGAGGAAGCCTGCACTTCCTCAGGTTTAACTTCTTGCTTATCCTAATTCAGTAAGTGACTAAAGTCATTCAGCTCTGTGTTCCCAGATCAGCTACTGACACAAACAAAGGAATATTTTTCAGCCATAAAAAGGAATCAAGGTTCATCCACGCTACAACATGGATGAAGCTTAAAAACTTTATGCCAAATGAAAGAAATTAGTCACAAAAGACAACACACTGTGCAACTCCATTTACATAAAATGTACAGAATAGGAAGAAAGTAAATTAGTAGCTAAAGGGAGGGAGGAATGAGTGGAGACTGCTAATGAGTACTTTCAAAAATGATGAAAGGCCAGGCAGGTGGCTGACACCTGTAATCCCAGCAATGAGGCTGAGGTGGGAGGACCACTTGAGGTCAGGAGGTTGAGACCAGCCTGGACAACATAGGGAAAACCTGTCTCTACTAAAAATACAAAAATTAGCCAGGCATGGTGGCATACATCTGTAATCCCAGCTACTCAGGAGGCTGAGGCAGGAGAATCACTTGAGCCTGGGAGGCAGAGGCTGCAGTGAGCCAAGACTGCGCCACTGCACTCCAGCCTGGGTGAAAAAGTGATTCCATCTCAAAAAAGAAAAAAGGGGGTGATGAAAATATTCCGAAACTAGATTGTAGTGATGGTTGCACATCTCTGTAAATATAATAAAAACTATTAAATTTTACACTTTAAATGGGTGGAATTTATAGCATGGGAATTATTTCTCAGTAAAGATATGACAAGAATACACGATGTCAGTGTTTGTATCATATTTAGAGCACTATTGCTTGGTAAGGGAGTTTGTAAAATAATCCTTAAGGAATGTAGGTACTAAAGGACTCACAGTAGTAGATTGACATGCTGACATTTTTTTAAAGAAAAAAAAATCTGTTGACAATGATAAAAATGTCTTAGAGAGCAGTCAGACTCAAGGTGGAAAGATCAGATGAGAGACTTACAATGGTCCATTCAGAAAAATTTTAACAAGAGGACTTGAGCCAAGACAGGTAAGAAACAGGAAAGGGCTAAGATCCTATCTTTAGAGTGGAATGCTATCTATAGAAGCTTTCTATAAAAGGAAAGCTTTCTATAGAAGCCAACTATTAACATACTGATGTGTATATATCCTTATTATATGGGCTCCCAAACAGGGAACTACAGAAAGTCGTCATGTCCAAGAGAGCAGTGGTAGAAAACTCTTAATAACTGACCCATTAAAATAGTTAGCGGTTGTTTTAATCTATGACTTAACTAATGGAAAATATGTCTTCAAGAATATGACATTATAATGCCAATATATTCTCAAGTGTATCAGAGAATAGTAGTATGAATTTCATCTTTGAGTATTAACGATAATGAAAAAATTCACCCTAAAATATTTTAACCCTAGAACAAGTTTCATTTATTTCAAATGTCTTATAAACTAAAAGCAAACTATATATGTAGTTTTATAATAAATGTTTATTTCCTATTAAAACACTCAGAAGAAAACACATTTGGTATTGCCTTAAATTTTTTCAGACACAATTCTTTCTCATTATAAAACATGTATTAAAAGGCAAATGCATTCATAAATTATCTCACCTTTGGTTTTTAGATAAACCACAAAGAAATGACTACAGCATAAGTTCCAGTTTGGGCAGACACCTGAATTTAAAAAAACAAACAGAAAAAGACATGGTCAATATGGTTGAATCTGAGTAGGAAATTTAATTCTTTCAATAAAGCCCTAACTTGATCATTTACCTACTAAATTTTTATATTCAAGCTGTTCTTTAGGTATCTGTAGAATTTCAAGAATTAAGAAATTCTCCTGGATTTTCTATTGCCTTTGATTAATGTTGATATTAAAAGTATATCAAAACAGGCTGGGCAAGATGGCTCACGCCTGTAATCCCAGTACTTCTGGAAGGCCAAGGCGGACAGATAACCTGAGGTCAGGAGTTTGAGAGCAGCCTGGTCAACATGGGGAAACCCTATCGCTACTAAAAATCCAAAAAATTAGCCAGGTGTGGTGGCACACACCTGTAGTGCCAGCTACTCGGGAGGCTGAGGTAGGAGAATTGCTTCAACCCTCGGTTGCAGGAGCCGAGGTAACGCCACTGCACTCCAGTATGGGCAATAGAAAGAGACTTCGTCTCAAAAAAAAAAAAGAAAAAAAGTATATCAAAACATATACTACATTAACAGGAGAAAAATATCAATTTCCTTCATCAACTCAATAATTCAAAAGAAAGTATTTTCTTAAGTTTACACTCGCTATATCATGATTACCCAACCTCATAGAAAATACAGAATTTAAAAATCTGGAAATGTAAAAGTAAACCAATAGCACATGTTTATAATAACGTAAGCAAATGAGTAAATAAAACCAATGTCTAAGTATAAAAATGTTCTCTACATTGGTAAAGAAAATCAAATTAAAATGAGATACCACCTTTGATCAATGAAATTAATATTGTTTTAAAAATAAGATTATAGTCATTAACACTCTTCCAGTTCTTCTCCTTACCAGACTCATGGTAAGACTGGACCTCATTGCCCTCTTTCAACTTAGGTGTGGGCACACGACTTGCTTTAGCCACTGAAATGTACATAGATGTGATGTTAGACATCTTGAGGTGTAAGCTTTAGGACCAAGTACACCACTTACAGACCTCCCAGCTACTGCAATCATTATGGAGTCACTAAACGGCTCTGAAGAGAAAAGAAACCCTGCTGATATGTATTAGAGATGTAACATGAGCAAGAAATAAACTTTGTTGTTTATGCGACTGAGATTTTTAAGATTGTTACTACAGCACAATCTAGGCTATATTGACAGCTACAAGTGATGATGTAATATAATGATATATAATAATGTAACATAATACGCATTTTTGCACACTGCTCATAGGAATTTAAATTGGCAAATTTGGTGGGTTTTTTTTTTTTTTTTTTTTTTTTGAGACAGGATCTTGCTATTGTCACCTAGGCTGGAGTACAGTGGTGCAATCACAGCTCACTGCAACCTAGATCTCCCAGGCTCAAGCAAAATCCTTCCACCGCAGCATCCTGAGTAGCTGGGATGGAAGTAGCTGAGTATTCAGGTGCCCACCACCACGAAGCCCTGCTAATTTTTCTATTTTTTGTAGAGATGGGGTTTTGCCATGTTGCCCACCCAAACTGGTCTCCAACTCCTGGGCTCAAGCAATCCACACGCCTCAGCTTCCCAAAGTGCTGGGATTAAAGGTGTGATCCACATGCCCAGCAATTGTTAAAATCTTTCTGGAAAGCAATTTTGCAATGTGCAACAAGAAGCTTAAAAAGTTCAAATCCTAGCTGGGCACAGTGGCTGACACCTGTAATCCCTGTACTTTGGAAGGCCAAGGTGGGTAGATCACGAGGTCAGGAGTTCAAGACCAGCCTGGCCAAGATGGTGAAACCCCCATCTCTACTAAAAATACAAAAATTAGCCAGACTTGGTAGTGAGTGCCTGTAGTCTCAGCTACTTGGGAGGGTGAGGAATGAGAATTGCTTGAACCCAAGAGGAGAAGGTTGCAGTGAGCTGATTGTGCCACTGTACTCCAGCCTGGGCAACAGAGTGAGATGACACTCCATCTCAAAAAAAAGTTCAAAAACCTTTGATCCAGTAACTTCTAGCAATCTGTCCTAAATAATCAAAAATTCAAACAGATTTATACATAGCTCATTTATGACTCTAAAGAACTAGAAAGGCCAAGTGTGGTGGCTCATGCCTGTAATCCCTGTAACTTTGGAAGGCCAAGGTGGGCAGGTCATGAGGTCAGCAGATCAAAACCATCCTGGCCAACATGGTGAAACCCTATCTCTACTAAAATCCGAAAAAGTAGCTAGACATGGTGGTGCACCTGTAGTCCCAGCTACTCAGGAGGCTGAGGCAGGGAAATTGCTTGAACCAGGGAGGTGGAGTTTGCAGTGAGCCAAGACTGCGCCACTGCACTCCAGCCTGGTGACAGAACGAGACTCCATCTCAAAAAAAAAAGAGCTAGAAGCAAACTAAAGGTACGTATGATTTGCTAAATAAGTTAGAATATTAAGCAATCATTAAAACTGCTTATCAAAGATGCTTGATGTCTAACAGAGGCAACTGTGTAAAGAGCGTACACAGGAAGTCTCTGTAGTATCTGCTCAATTTTTTCATGTATATGATTCTAGAACAGGTAAAACTAATCTCCAGTGACAGAAAGCAGATGAGTTAGCACAGGAACCAAAGGTTGTATCAAAGAACTGACTGCAAAGGGGCTTAAGAGAAGCATTTAAGAATGATTAAAATGTTCTATATCTTGATTATGGCGGTTGTCAACAGGATATACATATTAATCAAAACCCCTCAAACTGTACTGCACATAAATCATTTTACTAAAGTGTATTTTAAAAGTAAAATGAAAATGCTTAATGACAGGAAAATGCTGATCTACTGGGTAGTTTGAATTATATAACACATAAATTTGCATAGAAAAGACTAGAAATACATACAATCATACAATGTGAATAGTACTCTGTTTTGCATAAATATTATATAGGTAATTTTAATTTTTCCTTAAGTTACATACTTTCAAAATACTCTAAGTATGTATTTTTATGCTTATTTGGTGGTATTTTAATGTGAACCAGAGCTTACGCCTAGAATACGCTTGAGGTTTTAATAATTTATTCATTCAATATTTATTATATGCCTCCATGTACAAACAGCATTCTACGTGGTAGAGGGATACCTCCAAACTTGGGTATGTTTCTCCAGGGTTCAGCTAGGTGGGCCTTTCATGTGATCACTATTGCCAGTGAATATGGAAGCATCGACAATCCTCTGTAAACCACATCTTTTTATAATCTTTACACTGGCAAATGACAGGTAAGTGATGACTATACAAACTGTTTGCATTAATAATTATTTGTTTACCTAATCTTCCTGAAAATAAGCTTACATTTTCTACAGTGTTTAATGTGTAATATATAACATATATTTTGAATGTATTACAATGTGTGAATGTGTTTGTAAAAATCTATATTGGTAACTATTCATTTAAAAATGATATAAGTTTTGAGCATTTATTTACTTAAAAAATCAAAAATTTACTTAAAATTTTTACAGTTGTAAAAACCTTTAATTCTTTAAAACACTGAGTGTTTAAAACTCTAAAAATTTATAGAAAAATATGCAAATAGAAATTTTGGACACATCATTAACAAATTGTAATCACAAGTAAAACTACAGTGAGAAAATATTTGTTTTGTGTTCAGTAGTGAGTGTAGCAATTCAAGATACTGGGGACAAGGGATTAGGACTGTATACACAACTTCTCATGACAAAAATATCTGCCATAACTACTCCATTATAGGGAATACACATGAAGCAAAAGAGAAAGAACATATATAGAAGAATGTAATTCAGATTTATTTTTTTTATTTTTTGAGATGGAGTCTCACCCTGCTGTCAGGCTGAAGTGCTGTGACACAATCACAGCTCACTGCAACCTCCACCTTCTAGGTTCAAGCCATTCTTCCGCCTCAGCCTCCCAAGTAGTTGGGATTACAAATGCATGCCACCACGCCCGGCTAATATTTGTATTTTATTAGAGACAGGGTTTCACCATGTTGGCCAGGATGGTCTTGATCTCCTGACCTCATGATCCACCAACCACTCTGGCCTCCCAAAGTGTTGGGATTATGGGCGTGAGCCACTGCGCCCGGCCCCAGAAATGATTTTAAACCAGTGATCACTGAAATTAAATCACTATGTTTAATTACAACTATACAATATGTTGCTTTCTCAGGTTTGACATTTGCACTTACATGTATTCGAAAAGTATAAATTAACTTCATAATTTACAATGAAATACATTATTTATACTAATAACCATTAAGAAGTACTAAAATAATGTGTGCTAATCAGGTTACAGCTAGTAAAGAGTCTCAGACATTAAGAATACAACACAGAAAATATTTGTATGTGAATCAGGGTACAGATAGTAAAGACAAACAGTCTCAGACACCAGGGAGTATTCACAGCACTTAGAAAGGTAGCACAAAATCTGAAACACAAAATTATCAAGAATGCAGGAATGCAAATGGAGAGTTCTTAAAAAGTATTCGCTTCTTGACCCTTAGAAAATACAACCTATGAGTAGTCAATGAAAATACAGACAGATGGGAAAACACCATCACCAAGTTTGTCTTGGTTTTCTAAATTCTGGAAATCATGAGTGCAGTAACAAGTACCCTAATCAACTAAATCAGTGGTCAAACTGTAGCCTGAGAGCCAAATCCAGCCCAGGGCCTGTTTTTGTCTGATCTATGAGCTAAGAATGGTTTTTACATATTTAAAGGGCCATAAACAAACAAGAATATGCAACAGAAGCAGTATGTTGCCACAGAGTTTAAGTTTAAAGGGGATCTTTAGAGAGGTCTGCTGACTTCTGAATAAATAACTTATAAATGGATAAAACAGGTCTTAGTGGTGTCTCTTATCCAGAGATCTGAAGTGTGCCATGGCATCACAGTACAGTAGAACTGGAAGGAGGCACTAAGACCATCTTTTCTTCCCATGATATTGCAAAGGTGCTGACTATGGCCCATAGGTTTCTGTCTTCCAGGTTTACTGTATCCTGGGTCAAAAGCACATTTTATCTCACAACATTGGCTCCCTTTTCCTTTGGTAAAGTAATCTGGGAATTAAAAAAAAGATGTACAGTAGAGTAAATGCACTCTCCTCCAATTCTCCACTGAGCCTTTGCTACACACAACTAATCAGCTAAAAGTGAGGTGCTGATAACCTTCATATTTGACTAACTCAGCATCAAAGATCATTTCCTATTCTCCCAGCTTCATCTCCCTCTACTCTACTTACATATTCTCTAAACTAAGCAAATCAATCTACTAGCATTCCTGAAAAAGCACCTGTTTTGT